GCCTACCCATACAACCAGCCCACGTCAATAGTCCACACAAAAGGCCCATTCTACATCCCCAGCCCCAGCACCAGACCCCTTTATTACCCAAATAGATCCCAACCAGCCTTCCCAGCAAGGTCCCACAATTCCCAGAAGGTTATTCTTTCCTCCTCCCATCATGATTTCCTGAATCCTTTTACCAAGGGATCTGATTTTTTCCGTGCCTTTGCCCCTTCTAATTTTCAAATTTGCCTAGCTTGCTACATGGTTCTGGAGCCCCATTCCTACATTCCAGGAAGCCCAACCTGTTACCTTCCAAATAAATTGACCGGATGCCACTATAACAAGTAGAACACTCAACCAAGAAGAAAAAATCACCCAGCAGTAGCCCATAAAGATTTTGCATTTCTCCACTTGGTTACTGCACCAAATCATCATCAAAGAATAAAAATAAAAATCCCCTCACCTACCAGCATTTCTCCTCCCCATTCCCCAATAAATCCATAGCAATCAAAAACCCTCCCCAAGATCAACTTCTTATTGCTGGTACACCCATAAAAAGCAACAATGACATAGCGGACTTCTCGACACTACAGCCACACACCAGACTTCTCGGCAAGAGCTACTCTATCCACTTAGGATTTAGATTGACATGCCCTTAATTGCCAGAGTGTGAATTTTATGTTTAGTTGCGATATTTATACTAAACATTAAATTCATGTGGCCCGTTCAATGCATTCTAAATCCACAAGTGTCTTTACCCTAAAGTCTCCACTTTAATGACTTGAGACTTGTCATTCCCATTGAAACAAACAACACGACAACCTTGACTAAATGAAGTACCCAACTTCATTTAAAGTTGTGAGCAAATTTTGGACTTATATAAAGAAGTATGTCTCCCATTATGGCCATTTCATATAAGTAGTTCTTTACATTGATCTAAGTCCTGAAGCCTTTAGACATTATGCTGATTAAGTTATCTAGTAATTTAATACATTGTATGGTTTATCATAATAAAACCCTTTTATTCATTATTCCAATATTTATCATTGAAAACCATCTTGCATCTAGGGCATATTCCTAACAGTTTGACAAATATTAACAGAATGATGTTAAGGCAAAGCTTGTATCGATTGTCCTTGAGAGGAAGCAAGATTGGTATCCCGATTTGTTGGAGTTCATAAAGGATCCTTCACTGATTCATGATGAACTCGTGTTTCTAGTGTTCTATGATGCTAATTTGGAGGACGATGTTCCACCGTCTGCTCCAGTGCCTGAGCCCGACCAAACTAGAGCTGGAAACTCAAAGACTATGGACAAGGTTTTGACACGTGTACAGCAAATGTTGGCATTGCAAAAGTAGATGTTCTGCAACTTGATATCAAATGTACAATCTCATTTCATTTCTAAAATTGAGTCAGCTTGACAGAAGAGTGAGTGATTTTCGGGATGTCATCAACCTACTACAAAAGGAGAGGGAAGATTATGGTGAATTTCAATTGAAATTAAATTCTATCTATAGTTATCAAATTGATATCAGTGTATTACAATCACTTGATTAACTCGGGATGGTAGGATCGGTGTTGAGTTTGACATAGCAAATCAGGACCGATGAGCAAGAAAAAACTCCACCCACCCATCAAGTACATATCCAATTTTCGTTATAGAAATGCATCAAAATTACGTGTAATGAATACTAATGTTTTATGTCGTTCTAGGTTGTACAAATCGACATGGCCACTACTGATGACAATGTGACTATATTTCATCCCGTCCCCAGACATTACATGGCAATATCATTAGGAAAGGTTCGCTCACTAGAAGTCCCTTCACTGACCCTTTGAAGGCAAGGCCCAAAGCCGGGAAGACTATGCTACTAACCCTCGTGCAATTGTCGATTGATGATGCAAGTATTTAATACATGTGTGAATTGCATACGATATAGTGTTGTTTATATACTCACTAATGTAAATTATATTGTCAGAGCATATGGATTCCTATGTGGGTTTATTGAGGCGATAACAACACGCATACCAGAGCACGTTCCCGTAGGATTGGACCACCATTGGCTCCACTTTCATTTCATGGCTCCTCAATTCCATCAAGGATCAGCAGTCTCAAGGGGAGGAGTACAAATAGTCAAATGTATATTTCCTTTTAATTCTGAAATCAACATCGGGCCTTTATTTCTTGTCGTGAAGTTTGGATGAGAAAGTAAAATGTCATTCAATAAAGTGTTGGGCTCTCTAATCATCTTGTGTTCACTAATTTGATATTAAATGTTCACAAGTTACCAAGAGTCAGCATTGGGATTGGGTTTGCAATGAGATTGATTTGCTTGGTTGGTCGCTCACTGTACATAAATCGATGGAAGGCTATCAGCTTCATAGAGCGGATGCATCCATACGTGACATATATACCAGAGATGTTATTACAATCGATGTATTGTACTAAGTTCAAACGACCTCGATGTTCGGGACTTAAGGCATGTCGACGTGCCGCAATAGAGTCCGAGTTCAGACAACTGTAGGGTATTCACGCTTAAATTTATCGAGATGGTATTTTCCCTAAGACTAAGATGGCCATCAAGTTTTTTCATGGAGAGTAGTTATTTAGTTAGCCTTTTGGTTCATTTTTATATTTCTACAAATTGTTTTTATTGTACAAACTTTGTTTACAATAGTAATATGTCTGTTTTGTTTCATATTCTCCGTTTGCATTACTGTTCGATATATGTACATTTTAAAACAACTACTCATAACAACGTCATAAATGTAAAAATGAAACGTTATACAAGTAACGAATAACGAAGCAAATAATAATGAAACATCATACAACTCTCAAATTACAAAGCAAATAACAATTAAACATCATTACCATCAACCCGAAGGGGTTTCACTGCCCTCATCTGCATCAACCTAAGGAGGTTAAAGTTCATAAGTAGTCCTTGGGGGAAAACAGAACTACCCCAATAAATCTAGATTAGAAGGTTCAACAGTCATATTTATCGAGTCGTTACATTGGTTACTATCACTTTCGGATCTATGTGCTCCCAAAGTGTGCGTGACGAAGAGAGGAATGAAAGAGTTGACGTTGTTTCGACAAAAGGAGAGACAACAAGCAACATCATTATCATCCTTGATGTCGTAAGGCAATCCAGCGTACGTCATATCATGGTGGATTTTAAGCATTTTATGTTTTCCTTCAACACAACCTATTATGTTATCGTCCGTTGTTGTCCATTGCCCTCCGTACCTAACCAAAACATCTGCCATTAAAATGAATCCTGCAATAAATATAAAACATTATTGTTATGCCTGGAAAAGTAGGGCTGACGTAGAACCTTGTCAGCATGGGTGGTCAGAGTTTATGAAGGTTCTACGACCGCTCAAATGCGGCCAAGTCGCATGATGACGTGAGCGGCATGCTCCTGCCAGTATAGTAGGTATATGCCAGGTTGGCGAAAGGTGGGAAACGATCCATGTGTCCGATCCTTGCATGACTCGAGGAAATCACTCGGGCAAGTGAGCAATGGGACGCAGGGTTGGATTTACACGGCATCTACCCCACTCGCAAATTTGATAATCATTACCTTAGTTCATTCTACTATAAATAGAGGACTTCTATCCGATTTTGGGGATTGACTAATTTCACTTTGGAATAGCATACTCACTCTATCTCTCTCATTTATTTTCTCTAAATTGTAATTCAGCTCACCTAACGCGACCTGACTTCACTCATTAATACAATATCAGTGGACGTAGGATTCGACTTGTGAGCATCCAAACCACTTTAAACATTGTTCTTCACCCCTCAATTAACTAAACACTTCCATAATCATGTGTGACTTCTAAGCCCACTCAGCATTTCTCACGTGCGAACAGTTGTTGTCAAAATCAAGCATCAACAGTTTGGCACTAGAAAGAGGGCCTGATTTAATACATGTTCTTCATCAGGAGAATCTCTGACTAATCGGTCTCATTACAGCAAATGGCTCGCGGTTTCGAATCTGAGCGAACCAACTATGGCAACGAAGAAATCCCCCAAGTACAGAAGGACACTTTTCCCGAAGGAGCGTCTCCAACCCAGCAAAATGTAATGGGGGATATCCCTTCAAGCTCACAGCTTGATCCAACCGTCATGAGTTACCTGGAGAGGTTCAACAATACTCTCCAATCGGTCAGCCAAAGGCTGGACCGGTTGGATCGGGTCATGCCACTCGAATCAAATGAGACGGTACAACCGCCAAAAACGCCTGCAGGTCAAGTGAAAGGGCGAAAAAGGGCAAAAGCCCATACCGCTCGCACTACAGTGTGTCAAAGAAAGGGAAAGCAAGTGGCGCATGGCGAACCCAAAGGCTGCGAGGGACCGGTGAACACCGATCACGCCCCGGGTAGAATACCTGTGGCATTGCGACTTAGCGACATGTCGCGGCCCGAGCCGTCCCGTGCCACGTCGCATGAGCACTTCCACAAAAGTGCAAGGCGGAGAGATTCCTATAATCCCCCTTCAGCTAGAAACAATAAAAATAATGTCACTATCATCGAGATAATGGGCATCACACTGATGAGTGTCGGGCCCTCAAGCAAGCAATTGAGGACCTCATCAAGCAGGGGCAATTCAAAGAGTATGTCGATGACTCCGCTCCCGTACAAGAGAAAACCCAAGAGGAACCAAGCAAGAAGCGTCGTAGTCGAAAGAGTCTCTATAGCATAGGTAGGACTGCAAAAATCTGGTTAACCGAACCGGATTCATGCATTTTGTAACCGAACCGATTTTTCGATTCAAGCCATATGGCAAACCGAAACCGGTCCGATTTTTGCATTAACCAGTTTGCAAACCAAACCGAATTTTCGGTTTGCAATCCGATTAACCGGTTTGCAAACCGATTTTATTAATAAATTTTTTTTTGTCTTTTTTTTTATATGTTATGATAAAAAAATTCCTATTTTTGGATGACAATTTCAAGAAACCAAAAGATCCACAACAATTTAACCAATTAATGCTACTGAATTCTTCTCATCTAAGCATAATAACTAATAATCACCAATTACATTATCATAAAATACAAACTGTTCCTTTAAATTTTAATGATCAAGTACAAAAGTGATTAAGAAATAACAAATGAAAGTTGTAAACCGGCATCTCCCCTCAACTTTAAGGCTCAAGCATTCTTCAATTGGCCAAGTGCAATCACGGAATCACCTACAAGAGGAATAAAATCAGCTTTAATATTTTCTAAATAAAGAGAATGCATTTTTTTTCAGCAAATGTCACTGCAGAAAAATAAAATAAACATATAAATAATATGATATCAGCTTTAATATTTTCTAAATAAAGAGAATGATTCCATAGGATTCTTGTTTATGGTATCTTAAAGTTATTAACTAATTTGTACTCAACCCATTTAACTTTTATTGTTATAGCCCTATAGGTAGCCAGCGAGGTGACTTAATTTCACCAAACTAATTTTATTCCTTATTAACTTATAACTTATAATATTCCCTTTAAAAAAAGAGAGCAAAACAAAGACAATTTCATTCAAATACAGGATATGCAAGTGCTAACATCCTCCTATGCATCTGGGCACTGCCGCTCTCATCCAACCCACGCTGCACTAAAAATTAAGAGCAAACACACAAGCTTGACCATCGCCTACTAAACTTGATAAATGCTCATCAACAAAATTTAAAATTGTTGATGTCGAGTTGAACTAGAGTCACAAAAGATGATAGGCCACCAGCTAATGAAAGACATAAACAACATACCCCTGATAATCAACACATTTCACAGAAGCCATTGTTATTTCTTGAGTTCAATCACCCTCAACAGTCTAGTCAAATAGTTGTAATCCATATTAAATATTATAAGTTTGAATTATACATGGTGGATTACTCCTATTACAAATGATACTCATCGGAAAGAAATGTAATAAAATCAAAGTGCTAATATTGCATTTTTCAAAAAAGAAATTCTATCTAGCTCCGCCTTAATTGTCATTAAAACCCGATAATAATTTTAATTTTATTTTGGAAATAAGATTTCCAAATAAAATTATTAAAAGTTGAGGACATAAAAAAATAATTGGACATTATATATTGCCAAATAAAAGAAACCTTCAATCTCTCTTGAAAAAATAATTGGCCTAATTAACCAGCATGTAACATCACAAACTCCTTTGAGGAAAGAATGAAGAAGGATAAGAGATACTGTCTCTTGTTTTATCTTTCGTGCTCTCTCTTTGCATTTTTCTAGTCTCATATCTAATATGTTTTAATCACATTGCATACTAAGCTTCAAGCCAACTGAGTCTCATTTTAGTAACAATATTAAAGCTGCTAATTCAAACTCATTTAGTATGAATTTCCTTAAGGTAAATATGATATTTTATTGTTGGAGACATGATATTTGACACCTAAAAGTATTTGTATGGGAGACATAAAATTAATTAAGAATTGTTTAAACAAATAGCAGATTAGGAAGCAAATAGACAAGTAAATCTTTTACTGATATTTCATATATCAAGAGTAAGCAAGAAATTATCATACCCAACAACAACAATAAGAAAGATCCCAAGGATGGTGTCCCTGACTGCGTTTAAAGATGCAGCTTGCTGTTCAGGTGTTCCAAACTTCCAATATCTCCAGAGACAATGTCTATTATTTTCCCACCAAATTTTGGCTGCACAATTGATTCAAAGTTTAGAAAAACTCAATGATAATATATGTTGCAGTTCAGTTGAGTTCAATTTGTCTTCTTGAACATGAGGTCCATGACATGATAAAAAAAAATAAGCAAAGAATTCAGACTTCTCTTTTTACGCAGTTTCATAAGATTTCTTATAAATATTCTTAATATCTAACTTAATGCAAATATATGATCCTACTACCAATAACTGCAAGACAAATATAAATTATACATATTCTAAATTTACTATAATAGCGAAACCACCGCCTCCTGTCGAGGCTACCAAGTTGCAGATGGTAGCAGAACTACAGCTGAAGAACCATCAATTGCTGCAGCTACCACTACTGTGTATTTTGAGTGGATCCAGATCTATGTGCCCTTCAAATACTGCACGTTCTCTTGCTCCTAACCCCTGACAAACTATTACTCTTCTCTGTTTATTACAAAAGCCAGTAGCTTAAATGCAACTCCATTTCCTTTCCACATGCTACTTCAACTAGTGCATTACACGCACCAATCTTTCAACCTTGGGGCCCCAAATCAAAGCCTCTCCAATTGGGTATGTATAATTTATATTCTAAATGATAATATATGCTCGAAATGCATTTCCATTCAGCTAAAATAAGGTTCAAGAGGAAGGAATGAGTACCAACCTGTGGAAAGAGCATAAGGTTGCTGTAAAGCCAAAACAACTTCCCCGGCTGCTAAGGTTACACCATGGCGCGTGCATAAAGAAGAAGATAGAGAAAACAAGCCAATTTGAGAGGAGAGGACGGGAGGAGGACTGGAGGAGAGACGAGTAAATCTGTAAATGTAATGAAGAAGAAGATGAGTTTGAGTCTTTGAGATGAGAGGGCAGCGGCGGCTAATGAAGAAGAAGATGAGTATGAGTGTAATGTGTAAACTGTGAAGTTAGGGATTCAAAGTTTCAAACTAATAAAGAATAAAAATAATAAAAGATTTTTAAAAATTAAAATTATATTATTATATTAGGAAAACCGGTTTATTAAACCGGTTTCGGTTAACCGGTTATATAAATAATATAAACCGAAAACCGAACCGAAAAACCGGTTTAGCAATTTTTTGAAACCGAAACCGGTTAACCGGTTTCTCAGTTCGGTTCGGTTTCTGGTTTTTTTTTTTGCAGCCCTAAGCATAGGGATCATCTTTGAGGGACCGCATCTTGCAGGAAATTCGCTAGGTGCCCAAGAAAGGTATGCTCGCGCAGCCCATCATGACCCCATCAGTGTAATGAACACAACGCCGCGACCATCTAAGGTTCACAGAGAGGTGGAAATCACCTTCTCCGAAAAGGACGCAGTACGATTGCATCATCCCCATGACGATGCTCTCGTCATCACATCCCAAATAGGGCAGTGCGAGGTCCACCGAATGTTGGTGGACAACGGAAGCGTCGTGAACCTCTTGTTCTAGTGAGCTTTTGAAAGAATGAAACTGGATGAGGTCGATCTGAAGCCTGCCTCTATCCCTCTATACGGTTTTACTATGGATCATCTGATCCCCAAGGGGACGATCTCACTCCCGGTCACAATGGGTGACTCCAACGAGGTGACCAAAATTACTGAGTTCCTAGTAATGGACTGTCCGTCCATTTTCAATGGCATCTTGGGACGACCTCTACTAAGAAACTTCAAAGCAGTCACCTCGATCTACCATCTAAAGATGAAGTTCCCCATCCTGATAGGGATAAGGGAAGTAAGCGAATCTCAACGCGCATCTCGCGACTGCTATGTAAGGGCAGTGCAGATGCCGTGCAAGGGAAAAGGCAGTCCACTTGGCATCCCTGAACAGGCAATGGCGATTAGCTGGATCGAACCACAGCCTGATCTAGCTGAGGATAACATGGATCCTCGTATCCAGGAATGCCCTTCCAGTGGGCCGGTTGAGGACCTATCTGAAGTGTCAGTCGATCAGAGCGAACTAAGTCGAGTGTTGAGAATTGGAAGCAATCTCAACCCCCAGCTCGCCAGCGATCTGACCAGCTTCCTCAGGGAAAATATCGACGTGTTCGCATGGACTTATGCCAACATGGTCAAGATCAGCCCAAATATCATTTGTCATGCCCTGAATATTGATAGTGAGGTCAGGCCAGTCCGCAAGAAGAGAAAAGCAATGGATCCGAAACGATATGCTGCCTTGAAAGTTAAGGTAGATAATCTCTTCCTAAACGGATCCATCCAGGAAGCACTATACCCGAGCTGGGTTGCCAACCCGGTTTTGGTAAAGAAGCCCAACGACAAATGGCGAACTTGCGTTGACTTCACCGACCTCAACAAAGCCTGTTCGAAAGACAGCTTTCCCTTGTCAAGAATCGACCAGCTTGTTAATGCCACCTCCGGGCACGACCTGTTGAGTTTTATGGACACCTACTCGGGATACAATCAGATTCCGATGTACACACCAAACGAAAAGCATACCTCCTTTGTTACAGATTGACGGCTGTATTGCTACAAGGTTATGCCCTTCGGCCTAAAAAACGCTAGAGCAACTTACTAGCAACTGGTTAATTGGATGTTTTTTTACCAGATCGAAAAATCGATGGAAGTCTATGTTGATGACATGCTGGTCAAATCGCACGTCGCTTCTGATCACATAACACATCTCGCTGAGATGTTCGGCATACTCCGAAAATACAGAATGAAGCTCAATCCTCTCAAATGCTCGTTCAAAGTATCCTCAGGAAAATTCCTAGGGTACATGGTTAACCAAAGGGGAATAGAGATCAACCCCGAAAAGATCCAAGCTCTCCTCGATATGAAAAGCCTGACCAACCGAAAACAGGTTCAGAGTCTCAATGGGCAAGTAGCGACACTCAGTTGCTTCATATCAAAGGCAACAGATCGCTACTTGCCATTCTTTAATATACTCAGGGCCAACAAGAAATTTGAATGGACTCCTGAGTGCGAACAGGCATTCTAGAGCATTAAAGAGCACCTCGGAAAGCCACATCTTCTGTCCAAGCCTCTCCCACAAGAAATTCTTCTTTTGAATATGTCTGTCTCTCAGTATGCGATCAGTGCAGCTCTAATTTTGGAGGAAGACAGGGTCCAATGGTCAGTATATTACACGAGCAGACATCTGTTGGACGCCGAAATGCGGTATCCAGAAATGGAGCGATTAGCCTATGCCCTACCAATTACCTCCAAAAAGTTGCGACCTTATTTCCACGCCCACACAATCCATGTATTGATCAACTATCCGCTCAAGCAAGTCTTTTAGAAACCAGAGGCTTCGGGTAAGTTGCTCAAATGGGCTATGGAACTAAGTCAGTTTGACCTGCAGTACAGACCGAAAACAACCATCAAAGGGCAGGTTGTTGCCAATTTCATCTCGAAATTCTTATATCAACCGGTTAAGGAATCCAAGCAACAGGCCAGCGAAGTCACCTAGGAAACTGTTCAGAATCTGTCGACCTAGAGACTCTATGTCGATGGATCCTCGAACAGGAGAAGGGTCGGGGTAGGCCTTCTCCTTTTTAGTCCCGAAAGGACTCGCATTCATCAGTTTGAATTCAAAGCAACCAACAATGAGGCCGAGTATGAAGCTCTGCTCGCTGGTCTGCTATTGGCAAGAGAAATGGGATTAACCGCGATCAGCATCCACAGCGACTCCATGCTAGTTGTTAACCAGATCTTGGGGGAATATCAGGCCAAGGAAGAAAACATGATCAGTTATCTGAAGAAAGCTAAGGCCGTACTCGAGTCATTTAAGCACTTCACGATCACGCAGATCCCCAGGGATAGTAATTCTATCGCAGATGTCTTGGTAAAGATAGCTTCGTCGCTGGATTCAAACGCGCCAGAGAGTATTCCTGTTCAGTTCATCTGTTCGGTTCATAGAGATCCCTAGTACCAACTTGCCTGAACAAGCCGTGAATGCAACCGAATCAATTTCTTGGATGACCCCGATCATTCAGTATCTCCGAAATAGGACCTTGCCTAACGACAAGATCGAGGCAAGAACCATGCGAACTAGAGCTGCTCGTTACACACTTATAGGAGATCAATTGTATAAGCGAGGGTTTAGCGCCCCTCTTCTCCGATGTGTAACCGATGAAGAAGCAAACTATATCATGAGGGAGATAATGAAGGGATCTGCGGTAATCACACGGCCGCGCGATCTCTCGTCAACAAAGTTTTTCATCAAAGGTATTATTGGCCTCTACTCCAAGAAGACACCTTCAACTTTGTGAAGAAGGGTGACAAGTGCCAGCGATTCGCGAACATACCGCGAGCCCTTTCCCACCAGCTAGTAGCCATGACCAGCCCCTGGCCATTCTCCATGTGAGAAATCGATCTTATTGGTCCCATGCCAGTTGATAAAGGAGAAGCCAAGTATGCGGTGGTTGCGGTGGATTACTTCACCAAGTGGGCCGAGGCCAAACCTCTCGCCACGATCACTACCAAAAAGCTCAAGGACTTTGTCTTGAAAAATATAGTGTGCCGCTATGGAATTCCTCATACTCTTATCTCTGACAACGGGAAGCAGTTCGACAACGAGGAATTCAAGCAGTTTTGCAATGAGCTGGGAATCCACAAAAAGTTTACCTCAATCACAAGGCCGCAAGCAAATGGTCAGGTTGAAGCTGTCAACAAGACCATCAAGCATACTCTGAAAGCCAAACTTGGCGCTGCCAAGGGTAATTGGGCTGACGACCTCCCTGAAGTCCTATGGGCATATAGGACAACTCCGAGAACATCTACCTCAGAAACTCCCTCTCGCTAGCATATTGCTGCAAGGCGATGATCCTTGTGGAGGTAGGAACTAGTTCACTTCGGAGAGACCTGTTCAATGAAACAAACAATGAGGCGCTTATGCGCGCAAGTCTAGATTTAGTTGAAGAAAATCGCAGCAAGGCTCAACTAAGGATAGCAGCTTGCCAACAGTGGGCGAAAAGATTCTTCGACTCTAAGATTAGAGGAAGAGACTTCCAGGTCGGCGACCTTATTCTGAAGGAAGTCCTTCTCAGTACGCAAGAACCAAGTGCGGAGTATTGGGGCCGAATTGGGAAGGCCCATACTGCATCGCTAAAGTGGTAAGACTGAGGACTTATCACCTTAAAAGGTTGAATGGTTCTGAAGTACCGCGAACTTGGAATGTTGAACATCTTCACCCATATTATCAGTGATTTCGAACTCGTTTTCCTAATTTCCTTGTGAAGACTTATTTTCTCAAAGTTTGTAAATAAGTTAAGTTCTTTTGTAAAGTCATTTCCCGCATGTATACAATTCTGTTCACATAGATATTATTTATACGAATGCTATTGTAAACGGTTAGAAAGCGACCTCGTGTGTAACGTTTGTGGGGTACAAAAAAAAAATTATAAATACTCACAAATGATTAAGGAAACAATCTCTTTATTTATTTTAAAATAAATATAAAAACACATTTGCGAGCATGGAAACAGCAGTCCAAAGCAGAAGGCATCACTGGCCTTCATCCCCAGGTCTCGGAGGTGCGACCTTAGCATCCCCAGGTTGGTCGTCGACCACCTGGTCGGCCGCAGGTTCCTCAGGGACATACTCTGGATGTTCATCTTTCGGATCATGCCCCCGACCTTCCTCCTCATCCTTGGCCCGCGCCATGGAAGTGAGGATGCTTTGGTAATCGTTCGGAAGGTCAGTGAGATCTATGGTGGGATTATTTGGCCGAAGGGCATAGATGGACTGGATCGTCCACTCAGCAGCCCTCCTCTCAATCTCCAACTCTTGTCGTTGCATCTCTTCGGTCAGTGACGCAACCCTAGGTGAATTGGAGTTCGGCCTCAAGTGCCCACCTCTACTTCTTGGTGGCATCCCATAGCTGCGCTCTTTCCTGCTCTGCTCGCAAGGCCCGCTCGGAGTTCGCTCATAGCTCCAGCTCTTTCTCACCAGCCTCCTTGGTG